GAAAGGGTCTCCGGCGGCAATGAGCACAACTGGCGCGTGGAGCAAAAGGATTCCCACAAACGACGCCAACTGATGATACTGCGTGTTCCAAACGGAACGGGTCGGACTAATCCACGCTTCCCAAACCAGTGCCCGATGTACCAAGCCTATAGAGAGACCTGCACAAGAGTTCAACGGGGAACGGGGAGTCCCTTAGCGAACCCTCCGACGAACAAGTTAGGAAGAGAGATGGAATGTAGAGATAGATTAGTAATAGAAAGCTTAACCTTCTTCTTGTCTTCGACATCTGCTTATATCCTCTGGTAATCATTTCGTTGTCCCTTCCGACCTGTCATCTTGGCCGAAAGTCCATGCTCTAGCTTGCCTTGTTCATGGTGAGGCCGTTTTGTCTCGACGAGGAGAGGTTATCGCAATAAATGCTGTAAGGGCCTTCATTAATGGCTGATATGCAGTGCAATAACCTTGCAGGATCTTTGTTTGCTTATGTGGCTTGTCCTTCTCTTGCCACGTGTTTAGATGCCATTGGTTCTTAATGTCATGTTGAGCTCGAGCAACATTGGGCTTTAGTATGTTAATTATGTATTGTGCCCTAAATGGTGGGCTATATCCTTCATGGGCTTACCCGTGTCAAAAACCATTGGACTGGTTGGTTGAAGTTATATGTTCGGTAGTTCCTTTTCTTTTCTTTTTTTTTTTTTTTTTTTGGGGGAGAGGGGGGGTTGGAAAAGTGCTTAATCAAAAGCAATAAAAAAAATATTTACCTTTTCTGGTTTTGATTGATTTTTTAAAAATTATTTTTTTTATTTTTCGTATTTTTTTGTTTTTAGTAATTTTTTAAAACATTTTACGTAATTTTTTTCTTTTCTAGAAGTATATAACTTAGATACACCAAAAAGTAAAATATTTGTGAAAAAAATATTTCAAAAATTCAATAAATACATAAAAATACGAAAATCTATTGAATTTATATATATATTTTTTGATGCGACAATCGGCTCAGGAATTAGGGCTCCCACATGTCATCTTCCCCTTTTATCTAGACATTAGGTTAAAAAAAAAAAATAGCAGGGTATAATAGTAAAATTGACTTTTACTTGATTTGGGCTGTTATTTAACGTACTCTTTTTTTTTCTTTTTTTTAACATTGTGTTTGATTGGAGAATTTAAAAGTAATTTTTTTAAAAAAATAAGTGAAATATAAAAAAAATATATTTTTTAATCTGATTTCATACACATTTTTCTTTCTCTTTTCAAATTCCTTTCAAAATCTTGCAACCAAACACAAACTTAGAAAAATTCTATTTACACATCACTTTTACTCTCAATTCACATCGTTATCTTATATTTTTTTATTACCATTGTGCCCTTCAATGAAATTACCTTTTAGAACAAAACCCTAAATCCCCTCAATACATCGACACTACCACCATCAACACTAGCCATCAGCACCATCATCACCAACATTCCTTCTCCTCAGCTTCCTCGATGCATCATTATCCTCTCTCTTCTTCAGTTCCATTGCTGCAGTCGTCGCCATCTTCTCAACTTCGTTCCTATCTTCACTACCTTGCAACCACCATTTCGACAACCCACCAGCATCGCACCTTTGAACCTTAACGACCCACCACCATCGTAACTTACATTCGATCGGTGACTGATCACGCACAACCTAGAGAGATTTGTGTTTGGAGAGAGAGATATCTGTGGTGTTAGGAGGCGATAACGAGGTAGGGTTGCAGCAATTATTTGTCACGGTAGTAGGCGACTGCAATGGCGGTTAGGCATGGACGGTGGGGGTGCTACAATGGTAGTAAGGCAGCGACAGTGACTAAAGGAAGCTAAGTAAGAGCACTGAGGAATGAGAGAGTATAGTGGCGGCCAATAGTCGACGATAGATGGTAGACAATGGTTAAGGTTAGGGTTTGTTGAAGAAGAAGAAAAAGATGAGGGTAATATGGTATTATATAAAAATTATTGGTGTGTATTAAGACAAAATTAACATATTCAATTTGTGTGTGGTGTGAACTTAGTAAATGGTGTGTACTGAGAGTAATAATAGTATGTAAATAAAATCACCCTTCTTTTTATAACCCCTACCTTTTCTATTTTTTTTTAATTCCAATTTTGTCCTGATATAAAATTTCATTTTTACCCCCATTCCTAATCTTCTAACCTAAGAAGCATGGACACGGACACGTGACACGACACGAATACGACACGGACACGCCGACACGTTAATTTTAAAAAAATGCAGGACACGACACGTGGAGGACACGCATGAAATATATAATTTTATATATTTATTATATGTTATATATATGAATATATCATTCAAAGATAATAAAAAATGCAATATAGCACTACTTCCTATAAATTTATATGGTTTTTGTTTTATTATTGTATCTTAATTTGTTTTGTTCAAACTTATAATTAGTTTTACATATCTATAATCAATAGACACATGTGTTTAAACAATTGACACGTGTGTCCTCCAAGTGTCCAAAGAGTGTCCGGATCTTTAAAAATATTTAAAAAATAGGACACGTTTTGAAGAGTATCGGACACGTGTCCTAAGAGTGTCCAAAGAGTGTCGGTGTCCGACACGGACACGACACGGATACGTCACCTTCTTAGAAGTGTCCGTGCTTCTTAGCTTCTAACCCTAATTTTCCAAACCCTAACCCTAGCCCCTCTCAACTCTAGCTACCATATCCATCTGCCGCCACTAGCACTTCCATTTTCGTCTCCCTCTTATCTTCTTTTTTTCTTCTTCTTTTGAAAACCCCAGGTTTTCATCTCTCTCTCTCTTGCGTGCGCTTGCTTTAGCCATCACCACTATAATCTCTCTCTCTCTCTCTCTCTCTCTACGCATGGTTGGGTCGCTAGGGTTTGGAGATGTGATGGTGGTGCTCGCGAAGTCATGAAAGGCGATGACGACGGCAAGGTGTTAGACAACTTTGTCGACTATTCAACTTTTGACTCAGAGATGTCGCCCCACTCGTCGGCGACTCCAATAGAAGCGTTGTCGTCAAATGAGAAGTTGTAAAGGATGTCGAATGTGAGGGGTTTGTCGAAAAAGTGGGTCGGAGGCAGAGAAATGGGTGGTGGATAATATGGGGTTTATGGCGGTGATGGTGGTTTTGGAAATAAGAGAAAATGGCTAGGAAAGAGGCGACAGGGCAACAAAAAACGGCAACGGCCGACAGTGAGAAAAGGTTATAAGTTGGGGGTTCAAATAAGAGGGGTATAGTTAGGATTACGGTGGGGGTTCAAAGAGAAAATGAGAGAGACTCAATTAAGTGGGTAGGGATTCAAAGAAGTAAAGGGTCCAAAGAAATATGATAGGGATAGATAGCAGCTCTCTTACTTGATCTAAGAACAGTTAATCCTAGCCTCATTTAGCAAGTTGGGTTGCGAGTTAAAATAATTAATAAGACAAAATACTCAATCACATCACTCTCTCTATTTTTTATACGTCTTTTCATAAAAAAAAATAACTAACATAACATATACCCAAACACTCCGACCACAAAAAATCTCACAACATTTCATTTATATTGTTTGGATACAAAACCTTTATTTATAACATTTTTTAACAATTTCATAAAATTTAAGAAAAAAAAATAATGATTCTATAATACACATCCGTTGGTTACGCTTTTTGTAATATTTGATTATGATCTATTAAAGTGTTAGTTATGATAAATTGTAATATTAGTTAAGTCATTATTTTGGTTATCAATCAAAAAGTTTTTGGTTATTCCTTATGTAATATTTGGTTATAACTTGTTTTTTTTTTTTAATTTTAGTTATGATTTATATAAAAATTGCGTTATGATATCTGTGATAATTAATCTCATGAATATCAAAACTTATATTTGAAAGTGTATGATAGCATTATCCAAGGAAAAAAAATATTATTTGACTTCTGGTAAAAAGTTTGATTATTTATTAATTTTACAAAAAAAGTTACAAATGTATGATAAAATAATTATAATAAATTTTTCAATAAATTTAAATTTAATAAAAAAATATAATGAATAATTAGAGATGCTCGAGATTGGAAGCAATTAAAAATGAAATGAGCCAAGTCAAAATTTGAGCTGTTTTAGTTTGGCTCTAGTTTGAGCTCAAAATCAATTTGGAGTTATTCACCCAAACAAAAGGAAAATCAATTTGGAGTTCGGTTAGTCAAATAAAGTTTGAGCAAGAAAGTCAAAAATTTTGGGCCAAATAAATCAATTTTGTAATAAATAAATAAAAGAAAACTCAACTCAATTATTTGAAAAATTACGAATTAACCAACTTTTTAATGCTAAAAAAATCATTAAAAAAAGTCCCAAACAAATTAATTTTTTTTAGTATTATTGTTTTTTTTGGGTAGTTTTTTAATTAATTCATAAAAAATAATAAACTAAAATATTTAAAAAATTTGAATTTTGCTTGAGTCAGTTCAATTATATAAAATACTTGTATCATTAATAAATTTATCAATTAAGGAGTATATAAATTTATACAAATCGATTATATAAAAATACACACAAAAAATTCCTGCTTAAGCTAGACTTATTTATATAAAGATTCGATCTCGAACAAGTTTTAACTAATTGAACACAAAACAAACTTGAGTAGCTTTCATATCAATAAATTTCATGTCTTTTATCTCAAAAAGACACGAAAGACTTTAATTTAAAAACTTAGTAAACTTAAGGCCTTATTTGGCATGATCTAAAAAAGTTAAAAAGTCAAAAAATCACTATCTTATTTGAGTCACATCATCTTATTTAAGTCACATCACTTCAAATTCAACTTATATCCAATTTATATTTCATAAAAAGTCAAAAAACATATTTATTTAGATCAATCCAAACCACCCCTAAATTTATACTTAAACTTAACTTATTTAATTAATAAAAAATCAATTTAAAATAATTTATTAACGAGTTAAATACTAGTCGCCTGATTCGTTTGTTTTGCGGTGAAAACCCGGCCCGAATTAGGCCCGTTCAACGGTAATTAATAGGCGACAAATCAATGGATGTGGGGTTTTAACGCGCAGTCAGCTCGAAAAGATTGAATGTATATTTAGTTTTGGTTGTGAATTTAAAAAAAAAAAAAAAAAAACATATGGGGAAATTAGTGGGTACCCATCCCCAACCCATCCCCTGTGGATATTTAAAGAATATCACCTACCCTACCCAATGGATAAGAAAAAGAAGAGAAAACCCATGTATTTGGGTTGGGTCTCCATGGATACCCACAGGTAGGGTATCCATTGCCATCCCTAATGTGGGGTTTTAACGCGCAGTCAGCTCGCAGAGATTTGGAAAACTCTTCGTCAGACATTGCCAAGGTGAGACGAACATTCTCTCCCTTGAACTCTCCCTCAAATTTTGATTTCCAATTCCAATTTTATAATCACCAGGTAGCTCTCAATTTCAAGTTCTCTGTTCTCAGATTCGAAACTATGAATTGGGTTCAGCGCAAGATCTATCTCTACAACGTCACTTTCGGACTCTACATGTTAGATTGGTGGGAGCGTTGTCTCTTCAGTATCCTCATCTTCATTGATTTGTCCATTTCTTGATTTATTTGTTTGAATCGAGGGTTTAATTTGCATTATAAACTCAACAGACCTGCCCAATCGCAAAACCAGATCACTTGGCTTTTTCTTCCCATTAATTGTGTTTGATTTTTGGGATTTTTTGCATTTTTTTTCAATTTTTATGGGTTTTTGAATGAAAGATCAGTGCTTTGAGTTTTGGTTTTGGTGATTGTGAATTCTTAATGAACATAGATACTCTGGTGGTTGTGTTGATGTGGTTCGTTTGCCGCAATGGGTTTCGATCTGCTACTGAGTTTTGCAAAAGGTACCTCATTCTGTCTTGGAAAGTGATGGCTTGAATTTTGAATGTGCCATTTCATTACCCATTTTGTTATTGTTATTTGACTTGGTTGTATTACTCCTTATTATCATCACCAATATTAACCATTATTCTGCAAAATTGGTTTTGGGGGGCTTTTTATGAATTACAATTATGCTTTTAAATTATGCATTTTGTTCTAATAACGATGTTTAACATTCTCATTTGCTGCCTCAAATGCCTTTTCAATGTACTCATATTGCTTATTTTCTACGCACCTGCATGATTTCCCTACCCTTCTTCAATGTCAAGGGCCATATAGGCTTTTCTGTTTCATTTTTCTAAGTAATTGATTTAGGAATGAAAAATCCTACTATCTAGTGACAAATAAAGTAGCTGACTGACCATCTAGATATTCTTTAATAATCTGAATGAGATCTTCTTATTAAAAAAAAAAAAGGAAAGAATGTTTGAAGGAGATTTAAAGATAAACTTGAAGTATGGAAAAGAAAGCGACTAATATTAGCCAACCAGCCAGAGTCCTTGCACCATATTGGGAGATCAAGGGTTCAACTCTCCTTTCTGTGTGGGGGCTTGTTTCCCACTTTGAGAATTGTATATATGTGATTTCCCTTCCCAAGTACCCCAAAATATTCAAAATTACTGAAAATGTTTTCCATTTTTATAGTTTTTTTCTTTAATGCAATTTTGAATGACCATGGAGTTTCTAAAATTTTGGATTATCCTCTAAAATCTTTAAATCTCGTAGCAAAAATTTGTGGATAAAATGGATATTTGAAAGTTGTCTTTGATAGGATTTAGGACCTCACATGATTAGTGGGGATAGTTAGAGGTGAGTAAGTTGGTTGGAGGGACATTATGGGAAGTCTGCTAGGCACTAAATTGGTGTAGGAATTTTGACTTGGGCTGTACAAGAGCGGAGGGTATATTAGGAGGATGACGAGAAAGAAAGAGAGAGTAGTAATGGTTTGGATGCAGTGAGCTAGAGTCTCTAGACTACTACTGGAGATTGCTTGGAGGCAAAGGAGGGTGGCCATTATTTATAGAGAGGCTAAACCATTGAGGTTGGCTCTCACATGTGTCAACAACAAATGGTAGAGGCCAGAAGGTTAGGTTGGTTAGCTATGTCTTAGTGGAATGAGCCGAACAAGTACTAAAGTTGATATCCTTTGAAGCCTCAAGTTGCAGAGATAATGGTTCATGCTCCTTAGGTAACAGAAGGGTATTGAGTATGTCACATATCTTTGTCTTGGAGTGTTATCTTCTCTTGGAGATCTCTCTATTTATAACCATTCAATATTCAACTCCCTTCGAGGAAAAATGGGGCGAGTATCTTGACAAATTCTTAACCTTAACCATAGAGCCACATGATCCCAAAGGTCTTGCAAGGGACCATATAGGATGATGCTTAGACTCTCCATGACCGGAACACCAAATCAAGTTCCCTCAAGGGAAAAATGGGGTGAGTATCTTGACGAATTCTTAACCATAACTCCCAAACCACTTGATCCAAAGTTCTAGCAAGGGGTCATAGGATGACGCTTAGGCATCCCATGATTGCAACACCAATTGAGGGGGTTTTAAGGCCTTGCCCCCTATCTAGAATGACGCGGAGACACATCATGTTGAGTGAAAGTTGTTTAGCTCAAGTGAGGATGAACTGAACATGTTATTGTGAGTGGGGGGAGGATGCGCTCAAATGGAGATTCGCTCGGCTAGGTTAAGGGAGGCCAAGCACATTTGGGTGAGTGAACTAGGTGTGCCTTTTGGAGATTGTCCCCAAGTTCTTAGGCTCAAGGTTTAGACACCATGTACATTAACCTCGGACAACGTGGCTCGAAGTTGGAGGGTAGCTATTAGGACCATGGTTATCAAAATCCGGATCCGGATCTTACGATCCTACGATGTTATGATCCATTTGAGTACAATCGATCCGGATCATGTAAAAAACTCCTTATAGGTAGGATCTTTCGATCCTAGTAGTGGGATCTTATAGGATCGTGGAATCCCGATCCGAATCCGATCCTATCCAATCCAATTTATAAGTCTTGTTTTGTATTGTATGACATATTTTGTTGTAAATTTTATGTTTGTTGTCTAAATACCAATTTATGTCGTCAAAATAAATAATAAAAATTAAGTAGTATTGAATCAAATAGACTAAGAAAAACAAACTAGGAAACAAACATTCATATATTGCGGTAATTTAAGAAAATTAAATAGTCGAAAAAACAAACTTAGCATTAGCGAAATCTAAGAAGGGTAAGATAATTGCAACTTTATCCCAATTTCTGGAGAAATTATTTTTGTGACTTAAATCCGCTCCACCAGGGATGCTAACGACAAACCTTATCATTCGACTAAGCTACTCTTTTGAATTCTTAATCTATTTTCATTTCCAATTTTGTTAAATATTTTTTCTTCACTTTTTATGCATTATTGTACATTGTAAAGTATTTTGTTATAGAATTCTTCTTCTTCTTCACCTTCTTTTTTGATAAAATACAGAACTTTTACCATCGGATTTTCTATTGCATAATATTATATGTACATTTTACATGGAGTATTATATTTTTCACAATATATTCATTTTTTTTTAATAGAATATAGGTTCATTTTGTGTATACTTTATAAGAAATATTTATTTAAATTAAATTATTATGTACTTTGTCTTTTTTGGTAGGATCTTACGATCCTCGATCCAATTCTACGATCCGATCCTATAAACACCTCCAACGATCCGACGTGGGATCTCGATTTTAACAACCTTGATTAGGACACATGAATACTACTGGCCCATGTTTATGCACTCTACTTTCCACAAGGTGTAAAAGAAAGGACCAAACAAATCAGTGGGGCTATGCCGGCACAACTGAATATGCATTAGAAAGTTCAATCCCTCCCCTATGACACCAAAAAAAACCCAGGCCAAACTTCTAAAAGCCCGCGGGCATCCATAGAACAATATTGTGGCAATGTAGACCGTTATGGTTTTTCACCAAGGCGGTGGATTGAAGCAATTGCAGCCCAAGCACTTCGTCTATGGGCATCGACAAGCCGCTACATTAGCAGTGCATAAACCATGTCGTCAACCAAGTTTGTTCAGTGGTTGTAACATAATTGGTTTGTGTCACTTTGTGATTGGTGCATGTGACGCACCATGTGTTAGAGGTGACATGGCAATGATGTGGCTCATACGTGGCCAGTTAGATCCACATTCTTAAAATACTTTTTGTTTTTTAATATGCTACCATCTATACCGTCCTATTTGTTGGGAAACTGATCCATGAAAACTCACCAGGCTTATTAGAATAAAGCACTGATTTAATATCCTTGATTTATATATAGGATTAATTAACTAATCCATGTTAAGAAGTGGCAATCACTCAGATCAAGACATAACAGACCAGTGGCTGCTATTTTTATAGAGGGAGCATTCTTCTTGTTTAGATATTTCTTTCTTTGATACTTCCATGTTATCTAAAATTTCTGAGCTACATTCGTCCACAGCTCTAGTTCCCCCCATCCATCCCCTCTTTTCCCCTCCCTGTATAATATCTTTTGAATTAGGGAGACAGTAATACACCCTTTTCATAGGGGAGGAGAATGAATTGCACAATTCTTAACCAAACTTGACTACATGAAAAGTAATAACTCAATTATATCCGTACTTTAATACCTTCAAAACTAACCTTCTTGAAAGTAAATAAGTTGTCCAGAATGAAAGATCTTCAATTTGTTTGGTTTGAAACCCAAACAAAAGGAGGAAGACAAGAACAGATATATGATATTTTACTAGTCATGAAGTGTTGTCTTTTTTTTTTTTCTTTTTTTGTTTGGATGAATAATGAGTAAATTTACTCATGAAGTGTTCTTGACTAGTCATTAGTAAAGAAATATGTAAACATGGATAATAATAGATTTGGTCATAGAGAGATTATTAACAGCATCAATCAGGATTTGGCTTTTGAAGGATGTGGATGATAAGACACACAGTCATGGAGAACTTAACAACAGTCAGTGTTAAAAATGATGTAATATTATTGATTGATGTCTTACAAGATGATCTATTACAATTCCTATACAATCTATATATAGAAGAAAATGTGGTAGTAGGTGTAGTGGAGCTGATAGTGGGTTAGGTGAAGTGGAGTGTGTGGTGAAGTGGAGGTAGGTGAAGTGGAGTGTGTAGTGGAGTAGGTGAAGGTAAAGATGGGAAATTCTAACAGTCAGTGTTTTGCGTTCTTAGGAGTAGGACATTGTATCTGGTGAGATGGCATAAGTAGCGTAATGATAGTGAGTGTTATGGCTTTCTTAAAAATAAGATTTTATAAGTGAAAGTAGGATTCGATGGTATAATAACTTCAGTTTGTAGTTGATATGCACAGGTCAAGTACTTTTGGGAACATATTCAAAATATTAGTCTTGTAAAGAATTTTTTGCACTTGAGCTACAGTTGCTGCTGCCTTTTATGTGCTTTGAGTTCACATTTTCATGCTACTCATGTATCTTCAAGAAGAATGCATTATTTATTGCTGCGAACTGCCTTACTAGTGTCTGACTTGGGGCTATATTTTATTCATTTCAGGAATATATGGTGACTTCAGGAGCCATAGGACCTTCAAATCCTTATGGGTAATTGTAGTTTGGAATTGTACTGGATATACTTGAGGATTTTTTACATGATTGTCAATTTTCTCTCTCATCTGCAATGTGAACTTGCACAAATGTCTTAGCATCTTATAAAATTTATCTGTTTGTCTTCTCGTTGGTCTTATAAAAGCTGATTTTTTTTCTTTTTCTTGGTATCTTATATGAATTTTGTAAAAAAAAAATTGTTTCTATTGATGGTAAATCATCTATTTTCTTACTTAACAATTTAGTGAAGAAGAAAATAATAATGGCTCTAGAGTTGCACATACTACATATTTCCATTGAAGCATCTAATTGTCTTGATAAACACCTAAGAAAGGATATTGCAATATTAAAGAGGAACGAGAAAGAATTCTCTCTCTTTCCCTTGGGATGGAGGTGTCAAGTGGGGGGCTTTGTTAACCTAATGGAACAGTTAGTAATTCAGTAATGGTATTAATAAATTTGGAGTGGTTTCAGCAAGAACACCTTTGAATCAGGTTGATGAACTATTTTTGAAAGGATTTGTTTGTTATTCTTTTCAATTCTGGATATTATCTCACACAACTATCATATTTCTAGGACATGACGCATTGTTGGAAACTTTTTCCCCCTTCTATATCTTAAATCAAGTAGTTGGAGATGTTAACATGTTTGTAGAGACATAGATGCTTTTAAGTATGACTTCTGATACTTTGCTAAGAAGTGTGGTTTTTACTTTTGCATAATTGAAATTTGAGAAGATATTCAAAATGCCTAGCTTGATGTGGACTCCCTATTAAGGTTTGAGTTGATGTTGAATGGTTCGTGAAAGCAACTTTGAAGATGGAATGACTTTTGTGCTTTCAAGGCCAATGTAAATAATATAAAAAAATGCAATCCCTTTTTAGAACTTAAGCACACTATCATTTCCATATTGAAAATGCTTCGAGTAACATAGATCCACTATGATCGGGAAACTTCAACAAAATTTTGGTTTACCTGAAATTTTATTAGAAGTGATATCCATTGCTTTTCTTTCTCCAAATTAGTTCAGTTCATTGCTGTAGATACACTCGGTCGACTTCATTCATAGCTAGCTTGAGTTTTGCTGTTGATCTGTAAATTTATATCGCTATACTTCGAAATTTATATTAGCTGAAGCATGTTGAGTTAGAACACAACGGCTATACAAAAGTGAATCTTTATTTAGATGCAAAGATACACTCAAGTATACAAAAAGACTCTCAAGGACACCTCACTTTTGGAATCACTCACATTCAAGCACTAGACACCACTCTTGATTGTTGTGTCTTGTGCCTTCCAAATGAAGTCACTTCCCTTTATATAGTCATCCACCTCCTCAATGGATGGCTAGGATCATTTTGATCCAAAGGCTATTATTAACCCTCTAGAATATTCTAGCATATACTCATACTTTCCAATATTCTAAGACTCTTTAAACTATTCTAGTATATAATAGTACTTTCTATACTTCTAAAATATTCTAGAACCTTCCGGAACCTTCTAGATTTCTCTAGATTTCTACAAGCTTCTCTAACGTTTCGGAATCTACTACAATATTCTAGAATCGTTTGGATTTCTTTAGATCTTTCTAGAGTCTTCTAGATCTTTCCGAAGTCTTCTAGATTATTCAACATATGTACTTAATAGCCTAGATGATTCTAGAAAAGTCAATGATGACTCTTAACACTCCCTCTCAGCATTGACTCCTTTATTTAGTTCTTTTTTTGTAGTTGAGCCGAGTTGCTTCCAAAGCTCTACAAACTTTGAAGCTTCAAGTCCTTTAGTAAGCAAGTCTGCTACTTGGTCATCTGTTCTGATTGATTTCATCTCTATCTCTCCTTGGAGCACTTTCTCTCGAATGACATGATAATGTACCTCCACGTGCTTTGTTCTTGCATGAAATTGTATTCATGTCCTTGGGCTTAGGAACTAGCTCCCATGTCTGACTCTGTCTGAGGGCTTGAATCTCTTCCTCCATTGCCTTCATGTCCTTTGGTTTGCCTTTCCAAACGTCGTTGGCTCTGTAATGCTATCTTCTTCAGTTAGAGCAGCATTTGCATACTTCGGATTAGGCTTAAATTGTCTTTCTGACCTTCTAAGTTTTGGTCCAATCTCTTCAACCCCTTCTTGTTGGCTTAGGCGAACTTCTTCTGGACTATTGTGATGGACACCTTTTTTCCACAAACTTGAAAAACTTTTTGGTCTTTGACAAGTCAGGGTCTAGCTCATCACCACTTTGTGTGGATACTGGCTCCTTGATGATTTCTAAACTAGGAGGTGCCTCTTCCTCTCGTCTTTGCTCCCCCAGCTAGGGGTGTAATTTTGGCCCAGCCCGGCCCGGCCCATGTCGGGCCTTGCTGACTCCCGCCAAAAAATCGGGTCAGGCCGGGCCGGACCACGGGCCAGAAAACTAGGTCCAAGTCCAAGCCCAGGGGTATTCAGGCTTTGGGGGGGGGCAGTGGGCTTGGGTCTGGGCTCGGGCTTTGGGCCGGCTTAGGCGGGCCTAAACAATTTTTTAAATTTTTTTCACCAAAATTTCATTATTTTCCATTAAAAATAACATTGGGCATTGGGTGGGCCGAGCGAGCCGGGCTTTTGGACGGACCTTGATCGGGCCAATGGGGGCAGGCCCATGGGCCTGGTCGGGCTTCAAAACGATGGCCCAGGCCCAAGGCCTTGGGTTGGGGTTGTGCTTGGGCTCGGGCCTAAACTGGCCGGGCCCACCTCGGGCTGTGGACGAGCCACGGGCAAAATTACACCCCTACCCCCAGCTTTTCTTATAATTGATCTTCTAAATTTCTGGAGTCTAGCAATGGTACATCTTGTGAAGACCACCAAGATGATGCTTCATCAAATACAACATTCCGCGAAGTATAGCAGCACCCAATCATGGGGTTGCAACATTGCCATTTTTTCCTTTGACTGTCGTAACCCACGAAGATGCAACGAATTGCCTTCTTATCAAACTTGCTACGTAGATGATTTGGCACAAATACATAACAGACACATCCGAATACTCGAAAGTGACTTACGGGCTTTGTGTGCCATAACTTCTAAAAGGGTGAGACCAACCCCAAACCTGCTTGCGGTAGCCTGTTGATCACATAAGCTGTTATCTTCATACATTCAGTCCAAAATTTGCTAGGCACATTCTTAGCATGTAGCATGCTCCAATAAGTTTCTGCAAGATGCCTATTATCTCTTTCAGCCACTCCATTTTGTTGTAGAGTACTTGAGCAGGTAAACTGATATCGAATTTGGCATTCTCTAAGATAGTTAAAGAACTCATCTGATGAATATTCTCCTCCATTATCTGTTCTCAAGCATCGAATTTTCTTTCCAAGCTCGCTTTCAAGCTTCTTATGAAATTCTTTGAACTTGGCCAAAGCTTCAGACTTCTCTTTCATAAAATACACCCACACGTACCTTGAGAAGTCGTCAATGAAGGTCTCCATGTAGCGCATTCCGCTGATTGATGCTTGTTTTACCGGTCCGAAGACATCTGAGTGGATAAGCTCTAAGGGTTCCTTAGCTCTATACTTTTAATCTTCATATGGTATAAAGTTCTTTTGATTAATCTCAATTAACTAGAGTAGGATTTGGAAATCATATTTCCAAGCATGACATTTTTGTTTGTAAGATTTAATCTTATTTTAGATTACCATGCCAAGAAGCCCAACATGCGACACGACATGACACAGACACACCAACGCACCAATTTTTTGTTTTGTTTTGTTTTTTTTTTTTTTGTAGGATTCAATCTTATTTTAGATTAGAACTTTAAGGCTTAAACCTTATAATGAGTTAATTACTAAATACAGGTTGAGAAATTAAAGCAGAAGATAGAGTAGAGGGAGAAAAGTATTTTCTTTTGATCTTTGTACAACTATAATCTTTTAGTATGTTGCATTTTAAATAACTTTTTTTTATATTGCTAATATTTGAAATTCATCATGGCAAAGTTCTCAAATTCAATCGTGAAATCTATATCTAAATCTAAGCAATTCCTCTTGAATGAATGCTGTTCAAATCATTTCAAATTCATAAATTCAAATGCAACCTAGCATATTTGCTTGTCTAGATTTGGTGGATATAGCGAGCTTCTGTCTGGGTATTTGTGTTACTAGGTTAGCTATGGAGAGGAACATTATGCCAACTACTACCCTTTAATTGTCTTAAGTTCGTACGTTAGAATCAAACATATCTCATATCACTTAAATTCAATTTAGAGTTCTTTATGTGAGAGCTCATATGGTGGCTCTAGATACATTTGAGTGGTGGTTGAACAGATCAGAAGGCCAACCTGGATAGTTAAATTCTTTGAGATGTCTAAACTAGTTTATCTTGTGCATGTGTATCTGGTTTTTAGATGTAGGTAAGGCTTTGTCTATGTGAGATGATTGGGTAGTTTTGCTTGTTTGGGCCTAGTTTATGTGGATCGGCTCCCTTTGGTGACATAATAGGTTGCACTTGGGGCTTGCCTTCAAGGATTTTATGGAGCACAAAGGCACACCAGTATGAAGTTGAAACAAATGACATTGACACAATGTGAGATAGGTGTTCTTTTACAGGGTTTCTTGGTACTTTTCAAGCAAAGAAAGGGGTTCTCTACTTAACTAAAGCTTTGTTGAGAGTAAAAGATGCTAGAGGCTACATTTTGCCATTTTTCTCAATTACTTGCGTTTTCTAAGAGGTTTTTTTTTTTTTTTTTTGCTCTTGTTTGGGATTCAAAACACAACTTTCTCCTAAATAGAGTAGACATGAATGCAGGACATGCAAATGCACTTGACATAGACACATCAGGATGGCAAATCCTAAAAAAGTGAGATTAGGACATAGGAGTAGAAAAATATATTTCTATAGGTACATTATTATTATACTTAAAATTAATACTCTAAATCTCTATGTAAGTATTTCTTAATGTGGAAGAAGAAGCACAACAAGTTCATTATGATTATTATATTCTGCTTATCACTACAACACTGTTATTATATTTTAAAAATTTTAAAATTGTGTTCATCATTGGATCTGAATGTATAATGTTAAAAGACAAAGTTGCTTAGAAAGGACACAAATGGCCTATATGTTGGGAGTGTTTGAGAGATGTAAGTATTCAGAATTTTTTTTTTCTTAGTTACAAATGAGTCCACAGGATATTAGATTGTCTAACATGGACACGACACATCGGTGGAATTGTGCATGTTTCTCCAACATAACTTTGAAAGATATTACCTCATGTACATGTTTCTGCTGGTTTCTCATACTTGTCTTCTATGGAAGGGCATTTGGTGTATGTCCAGGTGCATTGTTTTGTAATGTCTCATGCGGCTACATTATGGGCTTTTACGACCCATGACAGCTGAGAATGATCCCTCATGCATTGTTGGGCCTAAAAAGTTGTTCAAAAAATGTTTTGCACTGTCAAGTAGTTAATATCTACTAGTAACATGTTGATAAAGGAAATCACATTAAATAACTTATAGACCATTACTCTAGTATTCTGAGTGGGTGCTTTATTTCTCTTGATTCTCTCTGTCTTTTCGTAATAACTCTTAGATGATACCTACTTCGATTAATTTATTAGGGGGCTACTGGTTGGTAGTTAAAACTTGGACTACTAACCTTGAGGTTTTGGGTTCGAAGCTTAGGGCAACCACTTCGTACAATTTATGCCAGATGTTAGGTTTGTACCCAACCTATCCCTTCCAGACCACCAACCAATGAATGGGGACCAACATGGATGTACATTTTTTTTATTGAATTTTGGTGATTCTCTGATCAGTAGGATGTGGATCACACCAGATCCCTGATCTATTCTCCGTCTTGGTGTTACATCACCATGCCACATAATAGAAACAAGAGCCAAAGGTGGGTAATCCACCCAATTAGCAGGAAGCTTTTTGCTGGCATAGGAACTAGCAAGCCAATGCGCTGTCCTGTTGTTTGCTCGACTGGTCCAACCAAACTTCCATTGTTGCAGCTTTGAGAGGCTTCGAATGTCAAGCACCACTGCCATACACTCCCAAGGGGCACATCTTCAGACACACAAAGCTTGATAAGTGACTGATTATCACTCTCAATTTCTACCAAGGAGGTATTGTGTGCTTGGGCTAAAAAACATGCCAGGCAGATTGCGTGAGCCTCCGCTTCCACTGTGGGTGGCTGAACGCCATCTGTGAGAAGGTGGATGCAACGAAGGTCCCTCCAGAGACCTGGTAGATGACCCATTACAATGTTGATTATGTTCAAACCAAGCCTGGGAGCACTTCTGAATGACTTCACTTGGGTTAACTGGTGTATGATTAAAAACGAGATCGTTGCGAGCTTTCCATATAAACCATCCGATCAAGGCTATTTTACTGATCAACTCAATTCCACTTACATCCTCAGATTCCTGACCCACCCCCAACCATTTTGCAGTCCATTGTGCTATGTTATGCACTGTACCCTGTTCTAGCGGCAGAGAAAGTAAGCTTCCAAACCACACCGCTTTCATCCATGAACAATCGAAGAGCAGATGTTCCACAGATTCTGTTTCCTTCAAACACTGTAGGCATAACTCAGAGGGGGGACACTTGCGTTTGAACAGATTGGACTTGGTAGCAAGCGCATCAACACACGCACGACACCAAAAACGTCGAATCTTTGGAGGTACCTCCATGCTCCAAATAAGTTGCCAGAAATTTGGGGGAAATTGAAAAGTAGCAGAGGGTTGGACATTTGATGATACATCGATTGAGGTTCGAGCTAGATCATAACCTGATTTAACCGAATAGATCCCAGTCTTGTTTGGGTGCCACACCATGACATGCTCTCTCTCTTCAAAGGATAATGGGGAGGCCCGAATAGCTTGGACTTCCTCCTTTGATACAATATGGTAAGTAACACATGCATAGTGAGTGTCCTTGTGAGTTGAATCAAGTATTAGATTGTTGAAATTTGACTTAAATATTTAAGTTAGGTTTGTTTATCTTTTGAGCCAATCTTAAATGGGTTTTAATCCAGCCAAGTTAAGTAGTTTTGTTTTGTGTACTACATATAACTTTATTGATCCAAGTAGTAGCTTCATCAAATTTGGCTTGAACAATCTGTTTTAAAATGTATTCAAATTTGACTTATTTATACAACAAACTCGAATAAGTTTTTAATAAATTGAACACAAGTCGAACTTGAATAACTTAGTTCGATTTATGGGCCTAATTTTTCCTCTAGTTATTGATAATTAATTCGATTTACGGACCTGATTGTCCTTCTAATTATTGATAATTTTTACGAAATGATATTCTGTAGAAAACAAATCAAACAAACTTGCTATATATATACACTACAATTCACTATCCAGTTCCACCTCTTTTACTCATGTAATGAAACTTTCGTTTATTTTATTTTCCATCCTTTTATCTTTGAGCATCTCTGGGCCATCAATTATCAAGACTTGTCCCTAATAGAATTGTCATGAAATTATTCGTAAAAGAAAATTAACTACGAAAAATATGACGGGTGCCTAAAGTCAAACCTGTCATAGACCCACCCAGTAATGGCAACCCAAAAAACCAGTCTCAGTAAACTGATAGGTACGGTTTGGCCAACCCCACAAGATTTTGCTTCAATGTAAAAGAGAGGACAAAAGGGACAGCAAAAAAAAATACCGGTTAGAGTTGCAGAATTCTGGTTACAAGACACGTGTATGAGACAAAGGTATAAAAAGCTTTTGTTATATGGCCTAATATGCAGAGGATTTTTCTTGGTGAATGTGGCTGCGATTGATTTGGAAACATGTGAATTATGAATTAGGTGACAATCGGATATTATATATACATGTGCACGCGCGCTCGCTTTATGTTTTTTAAATTCTTGGGTGGGTGATGGAATAGTAACATGATTTCTTGGACATTCTAGGGTGTTGAATGTTACCAAACAAGATCGATTCATCAATGTTTTGTGGGAATGCACATGATTTCAGGCCTAAAAGTTTGAGAGGGAGGTGGGTACCTTTTTGTAGTAGTGCAAGAAAAGAGATCAGGACTTCTTCTTCTTCTTCTTCTTTTGTGTGTGTGTATATGTTCAATGGCTATTGGCTATTCAACCACATGAAGGCCCACAGTGGTCCTAAGTCTCAGCATGTCGACCTCTTTAACTTCCAACGAACTATAAACTTAGCTCTTTCTATGGTTAGGGCAACTTAAAAATTGGTAAGTCATTCCTATCCACACCTTTGGTTAGTTGTGTCCTGCAATCGTACTTGCAGCAACTACTTTAAAAACTGACCAAAATATTGCTCCCTAAGCTTATAAAATAAGAATTAAGTATGAATCGTATGATAGTATCACTTTAATTTAAAAGTTACAAAATGATCACACATGAAGAAGGCAGTCCTAGAGACTACTGTGACAAATTTAAAGACAACAAGAATACTATTCTTTAAAAAAAAAATCACGATTGTATGAGATACAATGTAACAATATTACATTCATTCTAGAATATTTTTCATTTAGATTGTATTTGAATCATAAATTCAGATAAAATTTTAAAAGGAGAAGAGGAAATGTGAGTGAAATGTAGATAAAAATATAATTAAATTTCATTCACATTTCAAACACATTTCCCTTTCCCTTTCTCTTTATAAATTTCTATCAAAATCCACGATTCAAACACTACATTACTGGATAATGAAAAAATTATAAAACATTAAAAGTAGTCCAAAAGTCTTCCCAATTAAAAGACAATGCATGTGCAATGTGTGAAGTTCCTCTTCAACTGTACCATGTATACGTTCTAAACAATCTAACTGGTTCAAATTATTCTGTCATGGATTCTACCAGAAATTTGGTCTTCCTACACACAACTTAAACCCCGGTAGCTCATTATAGATCACCAAATTTCACCACTAAATCGATGGTATAAATTAGAACATAACAAGTATACATAAAACCAGAGAATAATAAATAAATAAATAAATAAATAAAAAGCTTCAATTAAGACAAGGAACAGTAAAATGTCCACAACGTGCACTTTTGATCAACTTTCAACTTGATGGAGGCGGAGGTGGAGCATGGGATGGGGGAGGTGGTGGCATTGACATCTGTGGCATAGAAGGGGGCCTCCCCACCAGCTGCTGAGGCGGTGGCGGTGGCCGCCAAACAGGTTGAGGGATAGACATTCCAGTTGGTGGTGGAGGCGGCCTTGTAAATGCTAGAGGAGCTAGTTGTGAAGGTGGTGGTGGCATGTTTGGTGGCGGCGGCCTGAACTGCTGAAAGGGCAGTGGTGGCATGGAAGGAGGTGGCATTGCTTGACCAGGTTGCTGAGGCTGCCCCTGCCAAGACGGAGGACCAGACATTGGCATGGGTGGGAAGACTCCACCTTGTGTGGGTGGCCGGAGCGGTGCCATTGGTGGTGGAGGAAGAGAGCCATTTGCAAAAGGGCGTGGAGGAATTGGAGTACTGATGGTGCCATTGGCCTGAGGAGCATTGGGAAGTGTAGGAGGCCCGCTCGCAAACAAGGTGTGAGGCCTGCTTTTTTGGGCAGTTGGATTGCTGGCAGCCAAAACTCTTTCTGCATTTTATCATATAGCAGTAAATAAGCAAATGATCTCTTGAAATGCATTCGTCTAACGGTGGACCAGTGCATATTAAATCAATTGGACACTTTCGATTTCACCATTGTACACATCTGGCACTCTGAATATATCAAAAACTCACATGCGAGGCAGATCAATCCAGATTTCAGTTGACGAGCAATCTAATCAAATATATATATTTACGCTCCATTTGTTTTAGCGGATATTTGGTTGCGACCTTGAAACTAAATGTTAGTAGTTGTATTAGTGGTGGTGATGGGGTGGAGGTGGTGGTCGTGGCGGCAACGGTGGAGGTGAGGTGGAGATGGTCGTGATGGTGGTAGTGTGGTGGCATTGGTAAGACTTATGTATGAAAAATTGTTTTTTACCTTTTAAAACTGGAAAACATTTTCTGCTCAAATAGCTTATTTTCCATTGAATATGAAAACATTTTCTATTGACTTTTATTTTCCGTCATTCTACATGCCAGAAAATGTGGAAACCAATTTCCAGAAAACCAAAACAAACAGAGCATTACTTTCAAGTGGACTAGCTACAGAATTCAGAATTAGGAATCTCTCAAAAACAAATCCCCAACCCCGATTGGTCAACATTGGTGCGATGTGCCTTGGTTCTATGTGAATGAGTGTGCATGTAGAACATAATGAGAGAGACCGTACCTGCTGGGGTACCATGACGCTCCCCTTTTGTGTCTTTCTTGTATGCATAGGATACTGTTATCTGCCGGTTGCAAAGATATTGACCATTCATTGCCTGCACAACATAGGATAGTTATTATTGAAATAACTCTTAATACAACCAAAATAAAACATTTCATTGATTTCCACATGACAATATTATCTAACAGGATATCTCTTCAGCAAACTATGTTGCTGGCTGCTTAAAGAGACAGAAAGACGATATAAAATATATCAATTTTCTTCAATATATCCTAATTTTTTGAGAGAAAGGTGATGAGTGATGAATGGCGTTAAAATTGAAACCTAGAGTTCTTTTCATATACGTTTTCTTCAATATCTCCTTTTAGTTTTTTGAAAGAACGGTGATGAATGGTGTTGAAATTGAAACCTAGAGTTCTTTTGATACAAGTCCCCAAGTAATGTAGTTAACTATGAAGGAGTACAAATTTTGACTCTCTATTCAATAAAATGTCCATGTTTCAATACTAGAATAGTAGATTTTATATAGTAACATAAAAAGAAAAGGAATAGAAGCCAAGTAGAAATTTTCACTGCAGTGATTTTGCGACTTTATTTTTCTAAATGGAACTCAAAGCAGAGTGAGAAGATGAAGGACGGAGCCATGTTTGCAAGACTGAGCCATTCCATTAAATATAGAAGGCCTGTTAATTACTCATCACACAAAGGACAAAACAGAAAAACTTGAAATGATATAAATTACCTCCAAATCAACAAAATCAAAATGGTTAGCAGCATCAGATCCATGGAAAGAGATCCAACATTTTTTTGATAAGTGATATGAATCTAAGCTAATTCAATCCCTACCTCCTAGATGCCCACTAAGCAATGGCAATTTCTAACAAATTTCCAACATAAGGAGACAAAAATCAAATGAAGATCAAAAAATGATTAGCAGTGTCACTGATTCATGAAAGGAGATCCATCAATTTTTTTTATGAAAACAAATCTAACCCTAACTCTATTCATACCTCCTAGATGTGATGCCAACATAAACAACCAATAACAAAACTATCATTTTTGCTCATTAAAGAACAGAAAGCAGACAAATTAGGGTTTTCTGAAGAAAGTTGATAATTAGAAACAGCTCCATTTGAGCTAGTTAGCACTTAAACCACTGGTTCAAGCAGTATTTCTTCAAAGTCTATAAAGACAGGACCATTTTTTAGAGTTTAAACACATTATAGGAATAGGTTGACAGTTGGCCCAGATTCTGTTAAACATTGCTCATAATTACAACATTTCTGTATGGTGTAACTAAACTAGTTTCTCGAAAGCCCAAATACAAAATCCAATAAAAAAATAAACAAAACTCATAGCCCTAGATTCAGTATAAACAACGTGAGAGCCAATAAGAATCCTGACAGATATAAAATTCATCTCTTTGTGAGGTACACACCAAGTAGATTGCTTAACTAATATCAAATTAAAAAAGAAATCCAAATTAAAAAACCATTTGTTCATCTTTAAACTTTTTAATTCTGAACCTCAGATCTCTCTCATGAGAACTTAATACCACTATCATATGAAGCTAAAAGCAAAAGACAAATACCTCTATTGCAGCATCAGATGCATCAAAAGAATCATAGCTAATGAAACCAAATCCACGGGAGTTCCCCGTCTCTGGATCTCTCATTATCTGAAAAAGAAAGGAAATAGAGAAACATCTGAACACAAAAGAAAACAAGCATCAAATGAATTGGCACCATAACAATACTTTATGATTATCCCCATTCATTACCACTAACACTATGCCCAACGCAGGCAGAGATGAGTGTAGAACCAACCATTACATCCGGACCAAGATTTTAATACAGCTCCACACAGACATTTTAAGCTATCAAAACATATATATACATTAAAATACATACAAACAATATATACGAAAATCTAAGAATTGTGGTCAATTATCTTGCAAAAAATCCAACCAATTCAGTGATCCACCACAGTGATTTTTCAAAAAACAAAAGAAATTCACAATTTCCGAACACTTCAAAAATATTTTTCACCCACGGGAGTCATAGAAATGAAATGGAACAGACACAGACTTGCTTCGGAAGGATAATTGTATCAATATGTTAGTTATGCAAGCATTAATCAGAGCATTAGACGATTGATAAAAGCATGGCCAACCTATTTCCTAGAAAGTGGCATTTCAAAGAGATTAGGTGTCTGAGGCTGATCAATAAAGAGATTAAGTGGTTGAGAGATAGAATTCCAAAGAATTAGAGAAATACAATAGCAAACTTCATGGCCTACAGACTACTTTATGAAAGGTCAAAAGCTTGAGCTCTCTACTATAAAGCAAGTCTGCATGCAACCTCATCACAAAAATGAAGCCAGAGATTAGTTCTGGACCAACTCTGCCTCCCTCCTAGCAACCCCATTAGTCAGTATGTCTACTACTCATTCATATTCATAATATATTTTTAATGTACATATGATTTTCTGTTTAGGTTAGAAAGTGGTACCCAATACTATGATGCACGATTCAAAAACTAAAAGAGTAAATTTCAATTCAATTCACTGTTTGTATCTTGATTCAACAAACATGATTTTAGTTGATATGCATCCTATCCATGGGTGCTGCTGCAGTAGTAGTTTATATCATTATCAAAAAGTAAATAAATAAAAGAAAGAAATCCCAGTGAAAGCCCTTCAGTTGTCTTTTGACCAGTTTGAGCGAATATTTTGAAACATGTTATTCTTTGATGTTTACAGACATTTAGATGTGTGCCAAAAATTTTGAATGTGATTCTTTAGGCCTTTTCCTCCTCTTATCTTCATTGTTTAATCCACACACAAGTCCTACATCGAGTAAACAAAAATGAAAAAAGAAAATAACAAATGTACAACACTGAAGAATTTCATAAACAAACAAATAAAAAGGGACACTAATATGAACAAACAAAAACATGCAGCAACAATAATTAAGAGAATGAAGAGTGTTGCAAGTACTTCTCAGTTTAATGAATACCCATCAAAACAATATGAAACAAAAGGTAAAGAAGGTATGACCTTGGGGTTCGTAACAATGACTCCAAATGCACTGAAAGTATCATACAAAAGTTTCTCATCCACATCCTGCAAAGAATATGAAGTCAATTTCAAAGTTGAAACTATGGCATAGGGATATGGCAGCAGTGAATGTGTGTGTGAATATTCTAGAAAGAAAATATTTACAAAGAAGAACCATGTGTAGTTCTTTTCTTTTTTCTTTTTTTTTTTGGGATTGTGATGCAGGGAAGCAAGTTCAAGATCTTATTTCTTACAGGATCAAGGTTTCCAACAAAAAGGTTAGCTCCAACATCCAAGCTCTTTTTATCTTGGGATGCCTGGAATAAAAAACAACAAGAATGAAAATTACTCATCAGATTTTGCATCGAACTCATGCAAAGACTGCAAAAAATTGAACCAATAAAACTTCTAGTGATGGTCCTTGAGTTGATATTCCAAAGGTAAGCATAAAGAAACAGCAAATGATACATAATGAGAATAAGGATCCTCACCTTATTCACCCTTATTGGCTTCCCATAAAGTTTAATCATATTCAGAACTTTTATTGCCTGCAACACCAAAAAAAGAAAGTATCACTGATAAAATAAAAATAAAAAAAAAACATAGAAGCAAGGAGAAAGCAAAACTCAAGAGATGAACCATGATCGTAGCATCAGTTAAGAAGATACAGAGAGCACTGCTAATGATGCCACAAGCAATGAAGTACAACTTACATAATCAGCATCCTCTTCACTTCGGAATTCTACAAAGCCATATCCTTGATGAAGATTGGTGACTCTATCTTTGGGAACATACACATTTACTGAAACAGAACAAAAAAGACCACAATTATGCATTCTTGAAATTTATAGAAGGAACTCTCACAAGAAAATTCTTCTAAATAAACAACCAAATGCATCATGTAGAAAGAGAAAATAGAGATTGGACAACATCACCATATTCAATCCCTAGTTTTTCAGAGATCTTTTTTAAACACGTTCAGATTTCAGAACCAATTTAACAGTGAATAAAATCAGGAAAAAAGATGAAAAACACAAAAAAATGCCCAAGTCCGGAGAACGTTAGTATAAGTTCCTACTATTGAATTTAAATGGTAGTATAAATTATTCCTTTTCTTCCAAATGCTATATTGGTAATGTAATTATTCTCCAATGTTTCATTTTGCATTTTACTTCACTATTATGAGTTTTGCAAGATTCATCCTTTCGTTCCTGTATTTAAGGATGGTTACTGGTTTTTAACTATTTAAACACATAGAGACGGACATATCTCGATGCAGCAAACCAAGACTATATAGAATTGGTACATAAGGAACTTCCTTAATTATGCAAAATTGACATGAAGGAAATGGAAAACAGGGGCTTGTAGCAGAGACCAAGTATCTATCTAAAGGCATTATCTTGTGTATTTAGAACAATGACCGAAAACATATACAAAAAGACAATGTACTTTATGAACTCATAAAGATGTGCAAATAGAGCCAAGAGTTTTAATGACGCTGATGGAATAGCATGTCTCTTTCACTTCACCACTTTATTTAAATAAGATTAATTATAGAATGCTTTCATGGTGACGGAGTATTATAACCTACCAACAGGGCCTGCTTGAACAAACAACTCCCAGAGTAACTCTTCAGTTACCTACAAGCAGACACAGAACAAGCATCAGCTAGATTAAAAGTTCAACAATCGAAGAAACTTTTTCGGGTGTTAGTTAGTGCCAGGGTAATTGCTTGGGCTAACCAAAGAAGGTAATTCAAGTTTGGGAGCAGCCACTTTACACAAGTAACGCAAAAGGTATCTAATCTTGCCCCTCCCAGCACTCTCGGATCTTGATTGACAAGGACCACATTAGATAATGTGCTTTATCGAAAGAAAAATTTGGTGATCCTTAATGAGTATCTAAAAAATTGATTAGCTATGAACCACACTTATAAAAATGAGACACTAAATTATAACAGTTCTGTATACCAAGTTTGAATTGAAATATCCAGTGGGTGATATAGAAATCAAAAAAAAAAAAAGAAATTCCTTGGCTCACTGCAATTGATTGTCTTCTTTCATACAGAAAGTACTTGAAGCTAGAAGAAGAATGAAGATTACTAAGTCCCATGACCCTGTAAGAATTAGCAGTCCAGAATAACTATGACTAGAACAGACTTGTATACAATGACAGCCAAAAAACCTCCATAGAAGATGATTCAATCAAGAGTTTGGATCAATGCAACAACCCTCAGGTAAATTCTTGGTAACTTAAAAGTAGGATTTTGAACCCTTTGAGAACTTGTGAATTATTTGTACCAACACACCGCCTATAGAATAACTGAATTTTGGATTGTAAGATCTCTGTCGCAAATCACCGCAATACTACAAAACCACACAGTAAGTAAAATGAAGTCGGGACTCTATAGTAGTAGCCTGGTTGTTATTCACATGTTGACAAAATATTGTCCTACATCGTCGCATACTATCATGCAGCAATCATATTAGCTACTGAGCAATTCACATCAACAGAACAGCCTGTCTCTAATCAAAGCCAAAAGATAAGACTTTTATTCATAAGGAAGCTATAATACTTCAATCGAACAAATTGCACAAAGGATTCTATATGGGTAATTATTTGGAAAGGGAAAAAAAAAAAAAAAAACTAAACATATACATTTCTGAAACATGAAGCTGGCAACAACTGAGTAAACTAAAAGTTGATGATTTTGTGAATGACAGTGGCAGTGACAGTGACAGTGACAGTGACAGTGACAGACAGGTCTTCAATGTGAATAATACAGAGCTTGAACTTGAGTGAAAACACAACTGGGAGGGTCGTGGAACAAGGAAGAAGAGAGTGAATCAAAGTTGGGCAGTGAGGTTTAGTTTAAACCCTATTTTCGACATTGCTTATAAACCTGAGGATCAAGATTGCCGACGTAGGCGGTGGCGTCTTGGTTCCTCTCGGCGGAGTGTTGGCCGAGCAGGTTCGCTCCCACGCCTGGAGCTATTCGAGTCGTCATCGCCTCTCACTCCTCGCCCCCTCTGTCTCCCCCCTCCTCTGTCTCTAGCTCCTCCGCTCTGAAACAATATGGTAAATGCTCTGTTTGGGTTGTTCTTACCTATTAATAATTTGTGGTGGTGCTTTTGGGCGGAAATTACTGGAAAATGGAAACTACAAGAAAAATTGCAAAATTGTGGGGAATCGAAATTAGTTGAAAGAAACATTAGGCTTTGGTTTGTTTTTTAGAAAAAAATTTAAAAAAAATTCTCCAAAATAAATTTTCAAGAGTAATCAAACCAAATATTTTTTTTAAAAAAAATTTAAAATTTTGTTTAGTTACTTATTTTTCAAAATCACTCTCTCTCATACACATTAAATCAATCATTTTTTTAAAACTCTCTCTTCAAAATGATTTTTTAAAACCATTTCTGAAAAAAGACAAACCAAACAAATTTTCATACTTTTTATTTTAAAAATTACTCTACAAATACAAACCAAACACATCCTAATTTTTTTTTGGTTTTTATAATAGAATGCTGCAATGGCACCCTATTATTTACTCTGAACCCTCACCACCAAAGTTCTTCCTCACCTTCTTTTTCTCTGGACCCACCATAATTTCAAAACCATCCCTCTCTTTGAATTCCCATCATTACCATAAGCTTTCCATCGGCAACTCTTCTCAGCCATGTGGGCTCTGTGACGCTCCAAATCTATATTAAGGGTTGTGTCACAATTTAAATCTGTCCTTACAGATTTAGCGTTATAACTGGTCCATGATTCTAAGGTTATCAAAGGTCTCTAAATTAATTAACATATGATAAGAACTGCGGAAGCAAATAAATAGAACATACATAATCCATTGAGTTATGTAGGCATACATGGGACAGAAATTTTAAATATTAAATATATATATACAAGTGACGTCATGGTTACAGTAATCTTACGTCACCAAAACGGGGACTTAGCCCAATACAGATAGACAGAAACTTGTTCGAGAAGCACCAGAAATAAAACAAATTCTTTTGTATAGTTCACCAAACAAGACCACAGGACTTGACTTTCTGGAACCTCCTCGGGAGGCACAAAAATGGAAGCCAACAAAACAGAAATCTAGGCGATCATCACTGAGCCTGGCTACGTGTCTGATCACCTACATACATAAATAATAAAGTAAGCAGAAGCCCAATGAATAATAATGGAGTAAAGGGGTAATGAATGAAGTCCCATAACTAAATCAATTGACAAAAACATATTCATAGTCATATTCTTGTTCAAGTCATTGATAGAAATCAGAATTCATACTTAATCTTACATCTATTAATGCTAACAGATCACATACAGAGCATCGAAAACCATACTTGTAAGTTCCAAAAAGGAACCTCCAGCTGAGTACGAATAACTTGTCAGTTCCATAAAGGAACCTCCAGACCGAGTACGGATAACTTGTCAGTTCCATAAAGGAACCTCCAGACCAGGAACTGATAACATACTCGAACCACGAAATTGTCAAAAATTAAACAATCATTTATTGTACATAACATAGCATTTCATAGAACAGATCTTATTTTATCATACAGAAAATAAATAAAGTTGAACATAACTTTACTAAGTTATTACTCAGTGATTATTGCACAGATAACTTTGATAGCAGCCAACGGATCAACAGTTTACGGCGCGTGACCTACATAAACATAACAGATACACATATTGAAACACACATTTGGGTTGTACTTAACTTATTTCGTTTCATTCTTAGTATGTCTTAATCTTGGCTCAGGCCTAGGAATGCCTAGGATGCAATGAGGATGCCAAAATGCAGTTGAAAACACTTGGTCAAAAATGCTAGAAACAGGGGTCTCACTCGAGCGTAATTTCCTTTGCTCGAGCGGACATGCAAAATGTGAGTGGTTGCTCGAGTGCAACTTCTATCGCTCGAGTAGTCTGTAAACTTCTACAAAAGTACTGGTTGCTTGATTTTCCCACTCAACGATCTCTCAAGCGTGAGACTCAAGTCCTCACTCAAACGCAACTCTTGTCACTCGGGCGGTCTGCAAAACATGTGAATTTTTAAGAGCTTGCATTTCACGCTCAAGCCAACTTTTGGTCGCTCGAGCAGAAGCACAAGATCACAGAGTGGTCGCTCGAGTGCAACTTCTGTCGCTCGAGCGGAGGGTGGAAATTCTGAAATTTCTAGATTGCACTTCCAAGTCCAAAACTAGAATTCAATGCCTTCAAACTCAACCTTTGGGCTCCAAAACTTGAGAAAACATGTCTAAACTTAGAAAACAGAGAATTAAAGATCATTTCATGAAATCAAGGCCCAAAAGCTTTCCTATTGCTCAAAAGTCAACTCAAAACTTTGAAAACATATCATATATGCAATGGAATGAGTTCGAAACTTCTAAATCATGATCAAAGTAGGAAAATTGATAAAAAAAACATAATAAATTCTCAAAACTATGGTAGGTTTGGTGCATATATGTGAGAAATCTTAGCAATTGAGCTCAAAATGAAAGAAAAATGTGCATGCATGCATGCATGATGTGTTCCTCCTTCCTACCTCACTAGCTCAATTCTTGCATAATTCAACTAAGTTCTCTTGAATTCTTGTAAGAGTGAGTCAAATGAAAGCTTAAGAAATGAAAGTCTTACCTACAGTCCTTAATTCTTTGAATTCTTGGTGAGTCCTAGCTCAATTCTCCAATTGCCCCTTAATTGCCTAGGAATTCGTCCATTTCCTTCTTAAAATCAACTCTCACCTTCTAATTCTCTCTTTCTCTCACGTTTGGAGTCTCTAGCATGAAAGAACAAGAGTGTGTAATGTAGGCAAGAGTATACATGAGCCTTATATAGGCCCCATTAAGTTGACTTAATTAACCTAGGCTTAAACTAAGCAAATAAGTGTTATTTATGCTAATTAATTCGTTCTGAATCAAATTTCAATTAAACCTACCATAAAATTCTAAAAATTCCAAATAACACATAACTTAAGTCAATTTCATGATCGGATGCCGATAAGGCCTTTAATTCACAAAACAAAACAGAAACATGAACAAATATTCATATAATAGACAGATATAAATACAAATAATGCAACTCACATTTAGTTAACTTAGGATTTCATCTTAATTACTCGTTAGGCATACTTAATCATGGCTTAACAGTTAATCATGGGTCAAGGTTACAGGTTGTAATCAAGGGAAAGTCACTAATGAGTGTTATGGCCAATAACCAAGTAAGATCTCAGATCGCCGGATGAGTTAAATTAGCCTTCTTTCTAAGTCCAGCTTTCTTAGGTAGCGCATTACCCTTTTGACATATCTTAAGAGGCATTGACACAATGTCTCATAAGCAATGTAGGGAATTATATTGATGTTGGAATATAAATACATAATAGTAGAATAATTACAAATATCCTTAATTGCAAAAGTTCGTTCCATCAACATTACATCCAAAAGAAAATTTAAGATTTCATATGGACTTTACAAAACAACAAAAGAAAATCCTTACTTTCTAGGATAGCCAAATGTCCTCGAAGGTTTCCGGTTCGTCGTCTTCTACTGCACACTCCTCTTCGACACCTGACATGATAAGCTTTGAACGCCCAGTAAACGCACACACATCCCATCCCTTTTTCCCAGTTCAATACACAACAGCATTTACAAAAAAAAGGGAATATTTCATGGCATTTAAGTTCATAGTACAGATTCTATAGTTAGTCGTTAGTCGTCTAAAAATCTCTCAAAGAGATTTCGTCCTTCCAACTCCAAGAATTGGACGCGGATTATTCGATATGCTTCATCTTTTGCTACTTTGTTGCAGACCTTACCTCGGATGCCTACCAACGGTTATGTACCACGTAGCGCCAACCGCAAGGCCTCAAAAGAGACAGTAATGATAAGCCTTGCCCAAATCCCTCCTTATACCGAACTACGTAGGGTCCGAATACAACCGCTCCATTTAAGGGTTCCGAAACAACCACTTGCGCAAGATTTAATTTACCAAAGGGAACACATCCCACTAACCAATAACTTCTTCTCATAATAATAATCGGGTAACCGAAACCCCATTAAGTTTTCCGTTAGATTAATCATTGTAATTAGTTAGTACAAGCAATAAGGAAAATAAATTTGCTCAGGTGCAAGCATCATCAAAGGTCAAACAAAATACATGACCATGACATGTATACTATCATACCAAGACATGATTATATATAAGTAAGAACATTCATAAAGCCATGAGCACAAAACATTAATGTAAACAAAATTTCAAGATTCAAAGTCACTTAAAGATCAAGAATAAAAGAACTACTTCAAATTTTTCCCAAATCTGACCTTCCTATGGTTCGTAGAGAATTTTATATAATTTTCAGAACAATTTTCAGAAATGGAATAGCTTTTTCAGATTTTTAGTTATTTCAGAAATACTCCAGCTCTGTCCGGATTCGTCGACCTTTACGAAAATCATATTTTCTTACAAACCGCTCACTCTTTTTCAATGAAACCAATACCCTAAGGAAGATTTTGACATAAAATTGAGGTCTGGAAGATTTTTCTACATTTTTCTAGAATTTGTTAAAGCTCGCTGATTTAACCGGTTCTTTGCAACAAGTATTAGAAAAATGAAATGAGGCATAAAAACACACGCATGACCCTTAAAAAAAATTCTCACACACTCTCTATATGTCAAATAATACCCCTTTGAATCAGATCTTGAGTTCATGAAGGTTTGCTATGAAAACAAAATCATAAACCTGAGAAAAAAAAAACATGCTGAAAATTTTAAAGGAGAAGATGAACACCAGGTTTTCAAACCATGCATCATCCATCAAATGTAGTAACTCCAAGTAACATATAAAATACGTTTCTAGCATGCATTATAAAAGGGAAAAACATGATGGTATTCATGGAGAGAAGACGCGAACGAGGTTTACCTTAGCTTGCTAGATTTTTTTTTCCCTACTTGTTTCTCTCTCTTTTTCTCCTCTTTTTCTCAAACTCACTTGCTCTCCCTTTCCTTCTCTCTTTAGCCAGGTGTTGTGTGTGTATGGAGTGACAAAAATGAGCTAGCAAGGCTTCTATTTATAAGCCAAGGAGAAGAGAGAAAATTGTTGAATGGTTTGGTTGAATCTAAATGGAATTGATCTAGTTTGGTTGGTTTGTAATTGGATCTAATTAGGATTAGTGTTAATTAATCTTGATTAAGTAATCATATTTATTAGTTAATTGCGAGACAAGAGTACATTACATTTATTGCTTCCCATTTTTTCATGTTTTCAAAGAAATTTTTGAATATTTTATTCAAGATTTTCTCTATAAAAAATTAATTTCTTGGTCCTTCTCCTCTATTCACAACCGGCCACCATTTACCGCATGTGAGAATTTGATTTTTTTTAAAAATAAAATATAGTAGATATTATGTATAAATCAATAAAATATTAGTTGTATTCTTATTGAATAAAATATTAAGATTTTTGGGGCCAAAATGCAATAATAAGGAAAGAAGAGGGAACAAATTTGAAATTTTGAAATAAAACATATATTTAAGTTATATATTTAATAAAATAATGATAGGAAAAGTAATTTGGGTCATGTGATGCCGATTCGCAACAAAATGCGAGATACCAAGCTAAAGTGGCGATTATCGGAAATTAGGGTTAAAATTGAAATTAATTAAGAGACTGAGGGACTTCAATGAAATAATTTAAAAGTAAGGGACTTTTAAGAAAATTAAATTTTCAAGGGCCTTACAGGCTCTCACCAAAATTTGGATCGGGCCGGGTTGATCTACGGGCTAGAAAATTAGGCCTAGCCCCAGCCCCATGGGGTATTCAGGCCTTGGCCAGCCCGATGGGCCTAGACTCAGGCTTGGAGGGACCTGAACATTTTTTATTTATTTTTTTAAAATTTTTTCTACTAAAATTTTATTATTTTTCACTAAAAATGACACTAGGTCTCGGGCGGGTCGAGCTTCAGGCCAGATTTTTGAGTGTGTCGATGGGTTGAGCCCATGGGCCAGACCAGGCTTCAAAATGACTGCCGAAGCCCAGGCCCAGGGTCTCGGAATGGGCTTGGGCCTGGGCCTAACCGGACTTGGCACACCTTGGGCTATGAGTGGGCTTTGGGCTACGGACCATTTTAACACTCCTACCGGCGGCTGGAAATGTTGAAAAAAGGGTGATCGGTGACTAAAGAGGGCAAATAGGAAGCAAGAAAAGAAAGAATTGAGAGGAAATTGAGAAAATTAGGGCAAAATATGATTGGAGGCAAAAATGTAAATATTTCCATTATTTTGCTATTTTGTAATTTTTTTTAGTTTCCATGTTAAGTGCAATTAATTTAGATTTCTCACTCTTTTGCAATTTCTTCTACTTCTTTGCATTTTTATTTTTTTTTTGAAATTTTCCCTTGTTTTTTTTTTATGCCTTTTTTTTAATAAGAAAATATTATGCAAACAAATTATACATTTTTTTATATATAAATTGATATAATGTGTAGTAATAAAATTTTAATAGCTGAAATGAACACTAAAATTAAATAATTTCTATCACATCAATTTATAAACTATATTTGAAAAATTTTAAAAAATTAAAAAAATTTGTATAACATTACTTCCAAAAAAATGCATAGTTAAAAAAAATGGGCAAACAATACATTTTTTTTTTTAATAAAAAAATTGACAAGAAAATTACTTCATTATAACAAATGAAAGTGCAAAGCAAGATCACAAATTTCAATAGAGGGCTGAGATTGCTTAGCTAGAATTGTGAAGTAGTTCCCATTTTAAGAACCCTGTGGTGGGCGTCCAAACTCCTAACTGTCTGGCAAAAATAAATAAAAGTACACTTATTGCTTAAGTAACATTTTTAAATATTTTGTGATTTTTTTTTTTTTGGGACAAAAAATGAAAATAATATATAAATAATGAATTTTTCATTATTTTTGTTTTAAAAAATACAAAAAATGAAAATAAAAAAATTCAAAAACAATTATGGGCTAGTAATGCAAAGCAAATAAGTTAGAATTTTATTAGTTACATGTCAATTTGTCATTACAAAATTGTGTTGGTCATTATGAAAGAGCTAGATTCTATTATTTTAATAGCTTTCAATAGCCTATCTAATAATCTCATTGAGAGTCTTTATTGAGTTTCAATTTGGATAAATTACTTGAATTTTCACAATTTTAATTTGAATTCTATATTTTCGATTTTGTTACAATGTGACCCCTCTATCACAAGTTGTTAACATTTTAAACGAAGAAAAAAAACTTACGTAGAGAATTAGAGAGTGAAATTAAAAACAAATTTTATAGTTTTGCATGCATTCTTTTTCTATTTAAAATTCTAACGACAAGTGATAGAACATTGCAACAAAATTAAAAATATTGGTTCAAATTATTTAAATTGAAACTGCGGAAATTAAAATGAGAATTTGCTTAAACTACAGGAATTAGGAACATATGGCTCCAGCTCATCAAGCATGAATAGCAGACCAATACTATGCTTGGCTCTGTTCTTGAGTACAGTCATAACAAAAAACAGTAAGCATCCATTAATGTGTTACACTAGTCCTCAAAAAAAATTGATGTGTTAAACTTGTATGATGAACAAACATTTATCCAAGTCAGTGAATAAAATCGAATTGTATAAAAGTCGGGACAATTGGCATGAGAATGTATGATTAAGAAAGAGAGCAAAAAGAAAGATATAAGAGGAGCAACTAGAGCATCCCAATTATACATGTTGGACAAGGAGGCACAACAAATAACATACAATTAAACCATAAAAGTTTTGCATCTTTAATGGCAATAGCTTCAATGAAACCTTCCAGAGATCTAGCTTCCACAGCCGATCGAATAACTCACAATTTAGCCAACCATATCCCTCGAGTAGCAGATGGAAAATGAACATCAATTTGCACTGATCAAAGTCCAATAACACTCATCTACTAGCCTCTTGTGTTTCACCTTCACCAGAGGCCAAAGGAGGAGCAGCCGCCAACCCAAGTTCCTCCTCAACTTTTCGCCAAGAAAAGCTATTAGGGAACTTCTTCCTAACTGTCCGACACAACCCTTTCGCCTCCTTCTTCTTCGATTTCTTCATCAACCCTTCAACCAAAAGCTTCAATGTATTAAAATCCGGAATCTTATGAAACTTCACACTCTCCTTGAACACCTTGTAACCCTTCTCAAATTCCTCATTCCTACACAAATAATATACCAAAGTCCTATAAGTCGCGGCATTTGGATTGGACCCATATTCCTCCAATCTAGCGTAAACCTTCATCGCCTCATCCACCTTCCCAATCTTACAATAACAATTTACCAAATAATTGTAACTAATCGAATCTGGTTTCAACCCCGCATTGATTATTTCCTCAATCATTGCCTTCACAATTTCAGGGTCTCCATTGTGAGTATGCATAATCCGAACATTATAGGCCGCAACATCGGGCAAACAACCTTTCATCACCATCTCATTCCAAATCGTCTCGGCCTCATCACTCTTCCCATTTTTGTACAAACAATCAAATATGGTCGTGAAAGTAACAGTGGTAATTTCAATCCCTTTCTCTTCCATTCTTTTCAATGTATCAACCGCCAATTCAGGCGAATTAGACTCGCAATAAGACTTAACCAAAATTCCATACGAAAATTTATCGGGTAAAAACCCGTGACTCTGGGGAATTTCGTCGAACAGTTGGGGGACTAGGTCGAATCGCTTGGATTGATTACAAGCAGAGATAAGAGCGTTGAATGAGATCGTCGATCTGGGGGTTCCGAAATCGTCCATTTGATTGAAGGTTTTGAGGGCATGATCGAACATTCCGGCGACGCCATAGGATCGAATGAGGCTAGAGAGGTAGGGTTCTTGGGTGATTTTGGGGTCGTTTTTGTGGGATTCGAGGAGGGTTTCGATGTCGGTGAAACGGCCAGACTTTGCGAGGCGCTTGACGGTGAGGTCTTGGGCGTAGCGAGAGGAGGCTGGAGAGGAGGTCGTGTAGTGATCGGAGAGGGAGGAGTAGATTTTTAGGGCTTTGTCTGGATCGAATTGTGATCTGAGTTTTGCTTTGGCTTTGGAAATGGAGATTGAAGAGGAGGCGGAGGTGGTGGCGGCGGCGCATAGGTTGCGGACGTGGTGGAGCGTTATAGATGAAGACATTTCTAGGGTTTGAAGGGTTTTGGGGGAGGTTTGGGGGAGGAAATGGAAGAGTTGAGTGAGTTCGCAAACTTGGGGTTTAACACTAGAGGTTTTGTTTGGCGTTGTTCAAAAATAATAAAATAAAATAAAAAATAAAGGGTTAGTTACACTTTTGACCAATGTATTTTCACTCAAATCTTGCTTTAATTTTTATAACTTTAATTAATTAATTAATTAATTTTTCTTAATCCAATCACAACGTACTTATATTTAATTTTTATTTTTACATATTTTTGTTTTCAAATGAATAAAAAAAAATTAGAATCACTTTTAATTTTATGTTATTAATTTTTTTCAATTTAATTATTATTATTAATTTTTAAATGAGTATTTATTTTATTATATTATAATTTAATATCACATGAAATTAGTGTTTTGTTTGTTATGGCTAAAATAGCCTATTTTATTTTTTGTGGCTAAAATAGCCAAAAAAGCCTGAAAAAGCCCTTGCCAAACGGAGGCATATATATAATTTTTATTTTTACATATTTTTGTTTTCAAATGAATAAAAAAAAATTAGAATCACTTTTAATTTTATGTTATTAATTTTTTTCAATTTAATTATTATTATTAATTTTTAAATGAGTATTTATTTTATTATATTATAATTTAATATCACATGAAATTAGTATATATATTTATTTCAATTATATAGCACGATAAGGTTAAGATTACTATAATGGATTTTTTTTATTGATAAATCTCATTTAGAAGTGTTCTAACTCAATAAGTCCACCAAGAAAAATTATAGCGTGGTTAGTCCCATATATTTATATTTTTGCCTTCGTCTAGGAAGTTGTAACCCGGGGCGTTTTGGCTATTTTAGCCACAAAAAAATAAAATAGACTTTTTAACTCAATAAGACAAAACATCACATTCAACCCATAATTCTTACATTTTTTCTCTTACAAAAGTCAAAAAAACAAAAAAAAATTCATCCCAAACAAAGTTTTTTAGCCCTAGGCTAAAATAGCTAAAAAGTCAAAAAGCCAACCCACTTCCCAAACGAACCCAATTCGATAAAGTCATTTTTTCTTGATTTATATTGTTTGTTAGATTATTATATCCTTATATCTATTGTTGATATGTATTACATAAAAAAATGATATACGTGTTTCTTTTTTGCTGTTCTCTCTGTTTTGACAATTACCATTATTCACGTTTTTCCTTTTAATCAGTTTCATCGACATTTGTGGTATTGTTTCGTTGTGCTAAGGTTTCGAAACTCTCTATTTTATATGGTTTTGAAGCTCTAGTTTACACATAGTAGTGAGAGAATATTATGTTCCTCCATTGTTGCGGTGAAGTTTTGTATTTCTCCATTGTCACTTTGGGTTCAAAACTCTATGTTCATCCATTGTTGCTCTGTGTTCAAACTCTATGTTTCTCCTTTGTTATAAATCGAAACTTTGTTTTTATCTAGTCAATTTTGTTAGAAACATATTCTTCATAAATGGGTTTGGTTTGATTTGGATTGGTGGTGTGTGTATCAATTTCCGACCACACTGCCAAACTAGTACTTAGCTAGAGAGCACCGGCAAAATAGATTAAGCCCGAACGACCTGCAACAGAAAGAAGAGATTCCGGTGGTGGTTTGTCCACCAGGGGGCACTCCGACGATCAAGTCAGTTATCTCTCAAAGATAGCAAAAGTGCTTAACTCACTATTCAGAATACAAAAAGCGTACCTTAAACCTATGGGGTGCCTCTCTTTTATAGCCAACACAAACCTAGTCCCAATAGAAGCCTAGCTTCAATGGACTTAGGATTACTGCTAATCTTGGACTCCTAGTAGGATTGGGATAAACTCTCTAAGAGTCTTATCTTTACTCAAACTGAAGTCCTCTCTCATTCTAGGACTCTTGTCTCTTATCTGCTTATCCCAGATTTCAGTTTCTTCGCAGATAACCTCGGCCTAGCCGAGATGATCTCGGCGTCATGACCAGGACACGTGGCACCTCGACTGGTACTTCAGTGACACCTCGGCCACGTGTCGTCATTCAAAATTTATGTCCCCACAACTGCCCCCTAGGTTCTATTACCTTAGTATCCTGAGGTGATGGAACCTATATTAGTCCTTCCAGTTAGCATGTCGGCTAAACTCGCTTCATCATTCATTACTGAGGTCATAATTCGTCGGCTCAATTATGACTAGGACTTTAGTCTGCCTTTATCAATGTCTTAGAACCACGTTCAACTTTCTCAGCCAAGATCATCCTCCTAGCCGAAGCACTACTTCATCAAATCAAGAACTCCAAGGGCCCTTTACGCGTACGTACTGTCACGCAAAACAACTTAACCATTCTTGCCATGCGTCTTTCCCCTACTGAGTCATGCCTGACACGCGCCATTAAGTCGCATCGCACTTACGTGCGCCGTCTGACAAACATGTCCTTCTAGGAACATCAATTGCGTTTTGCCACCTTTTCGCGTTTTTGGCAAAACTTTTTCCCTCTCTCTTCGTCTTTTCACTTCACATCATTGTCTCCGTTCAAACTTTTTCTCTCTTACTGTCTTAATTTCGCCATTGTTCTTTTCGTGAAGTTTTCTGCAACCAGTCTCTCTTTTCCCTCCGGCGAGGCTTCTGTTGCACTTCTTTGTTTACGGCCACCGTCGGATACTGGCGAACTTTACTTCAGCTTCATTTTTCTTCGGTGAATCACTGTTACTTTTAGTTTCAGTTCTTGGCTCATTTCGAACTCTGTTATATTCGTAGTTGTGTATATGAACCCAATCATGTATTGGGGCATATTTTATGATTCTGCTTTTGCCCAGTACGTTTCTTGAAGTTTCACACACTGTTCACCCATTTGTTCATACTGTCACTGTTCTTGGCCTCATAATCTTGCACGCACTCCGTCACTGTGTTCTTTGATAGAGTATCACCATTCTTGATTCTAAATTTTTATTCTTGTTTTGTATTTTCTCCAGATTCTTGCTTTCAATCTTCGTTTCCATAGATCTAGGTTTGGGATTTGTTTGTAGAACCCACGATTTTTAGGAAAAACTGAAACATATTCCGCTTAGATCCTTATACACTCTTGCCCTAGCAGACCTCTAGGTTTTAGCCGAGGTCATCTAAACCTTTACAGAACACTTCTTCTTGAAATCATACACCCTCCCCTTAGCCGACATCATGGGTATGTGGAGGCACATGGTAGATATCCCAACCAAGCTAGGATATTTTAGGCAGGAGTTTTCCATCCTAGCCGACGTCCATCTGAGGCTGGCTGGGGAGGATGACTCCATTATGCCCACAGTCAATTCTATGCCCTTCCCAATTGTAGCTTTCATTGAGTGTGAACTTAGGCTCCCACTCGACATCCTTTTTTCGAGAAATCCTCTATTACGACAAATTGAACCCAATGCAGCTCGCCATCAACACCTACCATGTTATCAACGGCATAATAGCCTTAGCCAAAAAAAAGAATGCTATGGTAGCTTTAGCCGACATCCAATACTGCTACACCATGTGTGGCCTCAAGTTAGAAAAAGGCTATATTTGTTACCTTAAACCAAAGTCCACAAAATACAAAATTGTTGTCGACCTCCTAGACTCTAACAAGGGAGCTGGAGATGGTTACTTCATTGTCTCGGGAAACTGGAAGTTCGCTCCAGATGAGGACCTCCACCTCTGCCCTCTTAGCCGAACAGTTTTCGTAGAGGGTAATGGTAAGAACCAAGTGTTATACAAACCTATTTTTCAAGTCACTTAAAACTTTATTCTTTTTGTATTTTCTAACGTCTGTTTTTCTTGCAGCTCTTCCACAACCGGCAAAAGACTTCTGTAAGCTCTTCTTCCCGAGCAAGGGCTTGAAGAAGCTGTTGGATCTGCCAGTTCACAAGTAGAGAGCTCCCCTATTGCTCAATTACATCCCGACATACAAGTCGGTCCTTCCCGATACCCCAAAGAAAAAGAGCAAGTCTCATCTTTCCGCCACAACTCCTCCAGCAACTTCATCATCCTGATCAGACCAAGTATCAACTTCCGATCTAGCTGAGCAACCATCAACCTCGGCTCCATATCTGATCCCTCCATCTCAATGAAAACGCCGACGCCGAACTGCAATTCCCGCCGAGATGGGTCGCAAGAAAGCAGTCGCAGAAGATCTACTAGCCGACATCCCCGACACCGTCAATGCTAAACCAGCACAATCCCAGCCTCAACCAAAGCCAAAGACCAAAAGATTGAAGAAGGCCCAGCCTAAGGCAACGGTGACTCAGATTGACACTGAAGACACCTTGCCTATTTAAAATTAGCTGAAAGTGAGAAGACCCCCTCCACTGCCGAGAAAAGGCCTGCCAAGGCTGATCCATCCCAATCAACTCGGTCGAAGAGGCTGAGGTCAAAGTTGGCCACAACCTCGGGGCCAATGAAACCAGATGCCCCCTGGGCTCCTCTAATCACCATCGAGGACAAGCCGGTCAGAGCTGGCGACAACGTGACTGACCTCGAAGTCGGCGTTGCCCTCTCTACGACTTTGCTCTTTCCCAATGATCTCAATTGCAACGCCGAGATGAGCGAATACGAAAACTTCGCTTTGATGCTATAGCATTCCGTTCAACTAAGTTCCTTACACTTGGTATTTTTCTTCCTCTATTTTTCCATACTTAGAGAATTTTTACTTAACTTTTGTTTTGTCTATTTTCTTTCAGGCGATCCAGCACGCCCACTCCTTCTCAATGCAAGCTTTTGAAATGAGGAAGGAGTTGGAGGCTGAGGTCAAAGTTGGCCACAACCTCGGGGCCAATGAAACCAGATGCCCCCTGGGCTCCTCTAATCACCATCGAGGGCAAGCCGGTCAGAGCTGGCGACAACGCGACTGACCTCGAAGTCGGCGTTGCCCTCTCTACGACTTTGCTCTTTACCAATGATCTCAATTGCAACGCCGAGATGAGCGAATACGAAAACTTCGCTTTGATGCTACAGCATTCCGTTCAACTAAGTTCCTTACACTTGGTATTTTTTTTCCTCTATTTTTCCATACTTAGAGAATTTTTACTTAAATTTTGTCCTATCCATTTTCTTTCAGGCGATCTAGCACGCCCACTCCTT